TATTTGAGCTAAGTCTTAACAATTAATCATTTAGAGGTACTGGTTTATTGAAAGTGATCATTTAAGTTTGTACATGATTACAAATATTTTGCAGTTTATTATTCATGTGGATGAGTAAAGAATCATTTGTTTGACAATTTTGTTAGTTTTTTCACCCGCCCTCGTAGGTTTTGAAGTTTATAGGTGGCGTTAAGCATAGAACTAATTCAGCCAACCCCAAGTGACACCTTTTACCAATTACAGTTTTTTCTCATTATTTTTAAGGAGGTACACGACCTTTCACTGAAAAAATTCCTGTCAGTGAATTTTTTTCGTATTTTTTATATTACTAATTTAATATGTACTTAACATTTTAAAACGGTCCTCTCATAGGATTTCTTGACTTATTTAAAAGATATCGCCCCACAAATACCGCCCTGTGTAGAGTTTGTATGGAGTTTAGATACTTTATGTTTACGGGCCCATAACGGAGTCCATAATGCGAATTTTTACGTACAAACGATAAATTTGATAGATAACACTATATAATTAAATATTTCAGAATATTCATAGTGTTTAAATTATCTGAAAGCAATTGTTTTAATTTTATATAGTATTTTGGTGGGATAATTTCTGCATTTTTCAAGGCAGCTTCAACAACAAAAACCTCATTTGGAAAAAATTCTGTCAATAGATATTTCTAAATTTCTAAAATAAACGTGTATTGTTTGAAAATTTTAATGTGATCTCAATTTGATCTTAGTCTAGCAAAATATAATTTTAGCTTACTCTTATGTTAGTTACGATCTCTTAGAATGATTATAGGTTTTATGTTTTTATGATTATTGTTTTTATGATTATTGTGTTGTATTTAACTACTTGTATATCTGAAATAGTGTCTGTTCAGCGCCTCAGAGTAAATTATTTTTAATAGGGCGCTATACAAATTTACTATTATTATTATTATTATAATTTACGATTGAATGTCAGTCCTTCATCGTAATTATTTACTGCATAAATATCACAGGATGAAACTTACCTCATCAATATCGCACAGGACATCGTTGAATTGGACGTACATGTAAGCATGATAAATACGGTTCACGTTCGTATTTTCCGAGTGCGGGAAATCAATTGTGACGTCACACGAAAACATAAACATTCAAAATTATCTAAATAGAGGGAATCTCTGCTATTAAACACGAAAAAATATTAATTCAAAAGAATCTGCTTCAGAAATTTATCACGATACATTGACTGTGACCTGTTAATTATGAAATAAAACTGATCATGACGGGTGTGTGTACTTGATCTCGCTGCACTGAGAATTCAAACACTACGTCTATGACGTCACTGACGTCAGACTGCAGGGTAATGAGACACAAATGTGTGGATTGGGCAACTTCACAATATTTAAATGATGGCAAGATCTTTAAAAATCTTATTAATAATAATTTCTAAAATTAAATGTTTAAAAAACAATTTTAGAATTTAGAATAAGATTACACAAGAACTGTTGATTTTAAGAACGTTTAACATGTATATCATCACCGATTATGACGTAATATGTCTTTTTAGTCATGTGACATGTGTCCTGTCTCCCCTTAATGGCAGTGGCTTGAGCTATCATTAAATGAATTTCAATTCTTTTATATATGGCGTTTTCTATGACTCAGGCATTTAAAAATGATTCACAAATAAAATTTAAAATATAATAAAAAAAAACAAATAAGATTTTGAATCCATTCTCTGTGTTACTTCTTCCTTTTTAAGTCATAAAATATTCCATACGCACTTACCCGACCTACCAGAAAATAGTTACTATAAATAATAACTATAACACCCCGCTGAAATATTAAGTTTGCCATTTCTGCACTTCACAGACCAGATTTTGATGATTAAGCACTTTTTACAATGGATTCTCTTTTTAGGCTGTAGTTACATAAACATTTTAAGGCTGTTTATAAACTGAACAATATTTCTTATATAAATTTGATTGAATGATAATGAAATTCTGTCTGGGACAAGTTTAATCCATGTTTTAGAAATCTGAATGTTTTAATACGAACATGGACATAAATTTTAGTTTGATAACGAAATATGAATATAAGCATTTATTAACTAAATCAAATCTCAGTTTGAAGAAGATATGATCTTTTGCCTTTACGGTACAAAATTTATGAGGCGATATGGAAACATTAACATGTATTTTGATGAATACTACGTTTTTATCGAAATAAAAATTTCCTTCATAAAGACGCCACTTTAATTGTTCACTTTTATTACTCTCAAAGGGTTTTTTTTAGTCCATCCAGAGTGAATTATCTTGATTTTTAATTCTTAAACTAGCTACATAAAGAACACCAAGATGAAGTACATGGAAAAATCGAGGTTATAATCAAAGTGTGATTTTTTTTTTAAATTGTTCTACTTAATATCTTCTTACAGGACAAAAATCATTATTGTCAAATTTGGTGTAACCAGCAAGCTCACTTTTTTTCCCAAAAATGACTGATTCGGTGCAAAAATTGACATATGATCTTAAGCCAATTACAATGAAATACACGGAAGTAAAAAAAAACAGTTTTCAAGCATGAAAGTCCCTTTAACAATACAAATTTCATTGGTGCAGGGCAAACACGGACCTCCAAAACATCAGAGGTGGGATCAGGTACCATGTATGAGTATGCATCTCTTGCCGACCAGTCACACCCGTCGTGTGCTTCTTGTCATAATCGGGAAATAAGGAGAAAATATGTCGACAATTCAGTGTGTAAATAATGACCTAACATTTAGTATGAAAAACGTCATTGAGCATTTGACTTAATGATAAATTGTTTTACCTGATGACATTTGACAACAAGAAGTTTGGTAGTAGAAATTTCCAAATTCCTTCCAAGATACTAGTCACGTTTAACTTTGAAATAATGATAATAGTCATTTTTTTTTTAAATATTAGATGTGACTTTGCAGGTTTAACGGACATACGTAGAATTAGAATGGTTTTTAGCAATACTAATTTTCAGGCGGCCAATCTAAATATTTCAGAGTTTAAGAGTTTCATTTTTTAAAGTTGCCAGCTGTCAAGAAGTCTGTTGTTAGAAAAAAAATTCATTTGGAAAAAAAAATGGGAGTTCGAAAAATTGGCGAATTTATTTTTTTCTGAAAAAACTTTTAATATCTTTTAAAATTAATTGAATGAATAATTTTTGAGTACACATTTCATTTATATCACGTTATGGAATGTTCTCGCAAATATGTCTCTTATAAAGCAGATTACACATTGGAAAAGAGTGATGATATACACCTGGGAAGAGTAATGATATAGAACTTGGAAAAGGGTAATGATATAGACTAAGGTTACATTTTACTTGAACTGCAATTAATAATAATGAAGATTGCAGGGCTTTCATTAAACTTCAGAAATCCAGTAGAGATATGTGTTAAATTACTGTACAATAACGTGGTAAATTGTGTTTCGGATATGTTTTGTTTTATTTTCAAATTAAGACAAAAGACTAGCATTTCCTCAATTTGTAATGTGATGTGAGAATGGTTAACATTATATAAATGGTGCCTGTTTTGGAGGGTAACATTTGAAATTGACACCCCAAGGAAAACTATTGTCAACCGACGCGTCAACGTCGATCGTCTTTACGTTCATGTATAGAAAGCTTTCACACTCACCGGTTCACTAATCTCCTTATTGTTTGTTTGATACTCGAATTAGAGTCATTTATCATGTAAAGTTTCGTTATTTCTGGCTCGCAAGCATGTTTCCTACACTCGCAAGCATGTATCGTCTGTCGTTTGTTGTTTTCAAGTAAGCTATATCGGACGCAAGCTTTTATTGACGTCAAGTTAATTCCGGTTCTTTCAAACGCGCAACTGACGTTTTGAGAATTCTACAGTGAACCGTACGCGCATAATTTCCACGCATGTGGCATTACCGTTGTGTTACCCGTTGTCACGTGTGTTGCTAAGGCTCAGGGTAATCGAACGGATTGTTAACTGCGTCTAAACCAATCAAATTTTAGTATTTAACATGAAAGTATAATAATCTAAATTGCAAAATGCATACCATGATCGTGCAAACGAAGAAGTCTGTAGATAATGCACTTTGTAAATTATGGTAGAATAATTCAAGAATAATAAATATAATTTAATAATTATATAATAATTATAAGGATAGAAAAATAACAGTCAACATTCGTCTTAATGATAAATTGAATTTGCTGACAAGGTAACTGTATCATACTTAGAACGTGTAAAAAAAAAATGAATAAAGATGATGTTGATATCCTAATTTCATCATCACCTTGTTAGTAACAATCTTGCCTTGTTTTAGACATTGTTCGTACATGTACGTAGAGCATGCGTTTGCGTATAACATCAACTAGGAGAGCTAACTCGAATTATTGATTATTGTTTAACGTATTATTTGAGATTTTTTTCTCATACAGTATAGAGAAGTCTCTATGTATCAGTGAAGGAAATCAATATTTTAGGCCTTTACTTTACACTCAGAGCCATTGAGCAGCAAGGGGGTGCCTATCGTGCCAACGTGGGTGACACGGGGTTTCGTATTTTAAGGTCTCCTCCGAAGAACAAGTGATTTTCACTTTATATGTAGTGCCAAGCGCTTGCCAAAGGGACAGTTATTATTAATTTTTATCGACTTAAGTCAGTCTCGGTCATGATTCGAACACTCGACCTTTTGATCACGGACTGAGCGCTCTAGCCAACTGGCTACAATGACGGTTACATTAACTTTATGCACCCGTTAATGATATATTGCTACAAAAGTAAGGAAAGTTGATGGAAAGTAAATTAGAGTCATCATAATTTACAAAAAGTTATCTCAGGTTTCAATTAATGTCTTTTTAGTAAAATATACAAATGTGAAAAATATGTGCACTTGAAATTATGGTTCTTGAAAGTTATTATTAATGAGTAATACATTTTGATGATCACTTTAATTTTATTTTCTAATTTTTTTTCCCGCAATTAACACATAAATTTATGAAGAAGTATCTATACCATTAATCAATCACAAGAAGATGCCTTTCATTTTCAAGCAATCATCAGCATGTTTTAATATATTTGAACCTTTTAATTGTTATACATCATAACCATTGTAAATAAAGCATTTAAGATATTATTTAGGATGTCCTCCACACATATGTATCACTTAGATGGCTCTTTTGAAAAACTGATGTTCTCTTCCATCGCCTGAAAATAATGATTAATTGGTTAGAAAAACAGTACATCAGTAGTTGAGGTATACAGAGAAAATCTTAGTACTAGCAAAATACTTCTTCAAAAAAAAAAAAAAAAACAAATAATTACTTGAATAATTTATTTTTAATTCTTCAAAACACTTATGAAAAATTAAAATGCAGCAAGAAAATAATGATATGAAAACTATTTGGATGATGGAGCAAGTCGCTTTCTTTCAGTGTACAAGTAATAAATCTCTCTTTGTCGGTTTACCTACCAGAGCGTGGATCATTCGAAAGCTCTATATGTATTGGTTATCTAAGTAGGTCAAACGTCACCCTTTTCGTTCTGTACTATAAATAATCACCAAGATCACCCACCACCCCAGTGATCTAAAAATGTTGTTGGCAAACTTTTCCAAGAAAAACTATCATAGTGTGGAAAATAATTTAATTTTTTTAATGCCAGCTTTTGTACTTATCCTCGATATAATGCATTCAATTTTCTAAGTACTACATAAATATGCATACATAAAATTTTGTACATATATTTGCATTTATCGTCAAAATGACTTTCCTCGTAAAGTTTATAAATACATGTACGCGGTTTATAGGTAATATTATTTTTAAAAATATATTAAAAAATAAATTAATTTCAACTAAAAAATGAAGAAAAAGATTAACTGTCATTTTGATTATAAGTCTACTGAAACCTCGAATACGATAGAATCGTTGTTGTCTTTGTTTATAGTCTTTATAATTAACCATTCAACTATACATGTAGAATTTAGGTGAATACCCACGTCTGCCTTGTGTTATCCATTTAATTACAATTTACATTTCTTCAAGGCTTGAGAACGATTGATTAGCAACTTAAAAAATAGAAATTGCAGCTAACAAGATCTATTCAAGTTAATTCTTTGGTCATTTTTTATCATAAAAAAAACAAAAATATTTAACATATTGAAATTTTTAAAAAGGAACATCAGATACATGTAACTCTTAATGTTATATATAAAATTATTAGCATTAAGGAAGCTCTAAACACTGACAGAAACTGTTTTTTGGACTAAGAAAAAGATATATACTGAAAGGAAAAAGAAACGCAGGGAAGCATAATGTTCGAAAAAATGTTGATCACTTGACCGAAAAGTACTAAAATTGGTCGGAAGAGAAATTTAGTAACTGTGCACCAAAATCAGTATTCAGAATTACTCAACCGTAAAATTTATGACGTCACGTAGGGATAACGCTAAAAAGTCCAATTTGATAAAGGCGAGTTTGTCAACAAATCTTGTTGCATTATTTGATGCATATGAGGTACATGTATGCACATCGTTTTTCAATATTAAGAGACATTGTGAATTTCTTGCAATCTTGGCACAGTTTACGGAAGTTCAATGGGGTCTTGTTTTCGAATTGCCTAATTAATGAAAAGGGCAACAACGGTTTACTAAGCAGTTTTTTGTAAATTTTCCCCATAAAACTTGTCACCCTTTGTCAGAGAGGGTCTGGAATTGTTTTCACTCAACCGTGACGATGACGTTAATACGAAACAGAGTCATGTTACGAGCGGGTTATTCGTCCTGCCATCTTTTAAATCGCCACCTTACTACCACAAAAGCAGCCATTTATACAGTAGACGATTATAATCATTACATTCATACGAAATTTGAAAAACAATTCCGCAATTTGGTTTTTAGCCGGGCTTATTGCTAAAAGAGCAATTGCCGGCTTATGTGATCCTGTTCAAGGCAGGATGTTGACCCCATAGTCGCCATTTTAAAGTTACGTGCAAAAATATAGTTCTTTCTCTCAACCGCTTTTGAGAAAATACAAACGCTAAATAAAGGAACAAAAATAAAACGAAGTTTTATCTATATAAAATAAACATTAGTAGTAATGACTCTGAAAACTTCATAAGTCAAAGAACATAGTTCATTAGCGTAAGGATTTTTGATAATCAGTGTTACCGTAGTTCTCTACACATACGAGGTAGAGCAGGAGAGGGAACCAGACTGGCCTGTTTGTTTACATTCAGCTGCGCGGTACCAGATTAATTCTGATTCTGACAAAATTGGACCGTGGTATTAGGATTGAAAAATTCACTGTCAGTGTCTTATCATTTATATTGATAGTTTTAAAATAATTTTTTCATCAGAATATAAACGTGATTCATGTAAGAAATCCATTCTACTCTGTAAATGAGCCCGGCTCCCTGTACTTCTGAGTACTTTGATTAATCCAGTCAACTTACTGTTGTATTCCTCTCACTGACGCATGCGCGCGCCGTTTGACTAATTTTTTTGCGTGGTTTCCCATGCTAAATATAGCCAGTGTTTGAAAGATAAACACTCTGATGAAATTCCACGCATAGGAGAAAAAAGGCTCTGACAGATGCACGGGAGAGACATTGAAAATAATGAGAGTTTTCGATTTTCATTTTTGAGCCTCAATATCTCATGAATTATTAGACAAAATCAAATGGGAATTTGGTTATATCTTTTTGAAAGATGATTTTAAAAGTTAGATAGGAAAACTAAAACATATTTTAAGAAAAACAAATTTAATTAACCTCAAAAGTTTATCCTGCGATTTTTTTTTTCTTTCAGTATATTGAGACTTTTTCATTTATTTAGAACATAGGGTACGTGCAACATTTTGCGCAGGAAAAATGTCTAAAGACAATGGACTAATTGTGAGCAGAAATCACTGTTATTTTCTTACATTGGGAAAATTAATGAAAATAATTGATTAAATTTCTTACTCTTGGTCTTATATAATGCTTGAAATATTTTGATTTATTACAAATCATGTGATTAACTGTAAAGAACAATTTCTTTAATCTTACATCTAAGGGCAGATCACTCTAAATGCTGAAACTACCCTATAAATAGAGCTTTTTAATGTGCAGTGTTTAGAGCGTCCTTAAAACATACTTGAAATAATTTTTCTTGCACATTGATTTTCTATTAAAAATATTTTTTTTAATTCAGCATCACAAAGATAAACACAGATACGCATGAAGAGAGAGAGAGAGAGAAACACTTGCTTGAATTCGTTGATTCATATCTTCATACATCAAATCCATGTCTGAGTAATATTTCTCCAATGTCAAAATCCTGACATTTCGCTCGTTCATCTCTTTGATACAGTGAATCCACAAATCAAGTATAAAATCGTTTCTTCTTTTAACCTCTCTAAAAAGTCACATTCAGAAAAAAGTCAGATTTTTTTTCTACATAAAGTCGCTTATATTTTCTATAACAATGCAAAACATTCCTTTTTTTTATTTTTAAATTTAGAATTAGATAATAATTTTTTCACTAGAATAAAATGCGACATTTACGAAAATTGATCATAATGTAAGTCCATTTAAAGTGCACAATAGTGAAAATAGTCATAGTCGAACTTCTAAATACATGTTCAGTGGATCCAGTGCCATAGAGGTATAAACATCCCTACCGACAAATTACATCCGATTGTTTTCCCTAGTCATGATAGGGTCTTAGCAATTCAGTATTAAGTCATAAAATAAAAATATTTATTTTAATACACGTATTTAACAATGTTTTGTTAAAATTGGAATAATATATTTTCTTAGATATTTTTTTTTTTTAAATATATTCCATACAGCACCGTCTAAGTATTCTTTAGCTAAAGTCGTTGAAAATTTAATTCATTAAATCCTTAACAGTTTAAGGTTGACAGAATTTTCGTATTTATCACATCTCGTAATATATTACCTTTGATAGTAATTAAATAATAATTATACGTGTTGCCTAATTGTGCACTAATTTTACTTACAGGCTTTCCAAACTTGTTGGACGGCTTTGAGTCTTTTCCTTTGATTGATTGGAATAATCAGTCGTAGGGTTATCTATTATAAAAAACAAAAAACAAATTTTAGTTAACACATTTATTTAATTTAACTTATATGAGCACAAAAGTAGTTAAGACTTACAGTCATATGCACTTGCAGGAGTTGTGTCTTTTTGTAATCCATTTCTCTCTTTCTCTCCTCCGTGACCAACATTCGAACGATTAAAATTCATCTTCTCCATGTAAAAAGCAAACTTTTGAGTTCATAAAAAGTTAATAAAAATTGTATGAGAATGAACC